AAAAGATGTGACTCAGGCCAGGCACAGTGGCTCAGGCCTGTAATCCTAGCACTTTGGGAAGCTGAGGCAGGCAGATTGCTTGAGCCCAGGAGTTCAAGACCAGCCTGGGTAACATGGCAAATACCCTGTCTCTATAAAAAATACAAAAATTAGCCGGATGTGGTGGTGCACACCTGTGGTCCCAGCTACTTAGGAGGCTGAGGTGGGAGGATTGCTTGAACCTGCGAGGCAAAGGTTGCAGTGAGCCGAGATCATGCCACTGCACTCCAGCCTGGGTGACAGAGCCAGATCTTGTTTCCCCAAAAAAAAAAAAAAGATGTGACTCAAAAAAGGTGCAGGAAGAACAAGGTAGAGAATGCAATCGAGAGAGAGGACAGCAGCATTGAAGGCACCAAAGAGGTATTAGCATGTGTCACGTTCTGGACACTAAGGCAGTTTGATGTGGGTAGATTTTTATATCTATGGAAGATGAGGGGAAAGATGAGATGACGGAGGCAGGCAGGGCCCAGATGGAGCCAGTCCTTCCATGGTGGACTGAGAAGTCTACATGTATCTATAGATGATAGGGCCATTAAGTGATGGTGAGCAGAGAAGCAGCACCGACAACTCTGACTTGAGGAAAGTACATCCCTGGTGCCATTGTAGTATCTGAAGGGGAATGAGGCAAAACCGGGGGTGGAGTGGATATATAGTTACTGTGATACTCCAGGTGCGACAGCAAAGCTTGAAGGTGGCAGATCACCAAGAGTCCTTCTGACGCCTCAAACACAACAGGCAGACATGAAGGAGTGGCCTGATGCCAGAGCCTGCTTTCCTTCTTCATGGGATGGTGCTGTGGTCCTCAGAACTGATAGGTGAGGTGAGCAGGTAAGGAACACCTGGCAACGTGGAAAGAGAATGATCTTATCTGGGCTGCAAATGATCCTTAAGAAAACCATGGAATCGGGTCTGTATTCATGGCACCTGCCACAAAGTTCCACTGTTGACAGCCCTGCTGGTGACCAGAGGTCTCCGCAGTCCTCCCCCAGAGATGGGCACTTTCGTGGCTCAGGTGCCTGGCTCCACATCCTGCAACAGCACCAGCCAGGGCAAAAGCCCCCAGGGCCACCTTCACAAGGGCAATATTTTGAGCACTGGCCAATTTAAATATATAATTCAACTAAAAAAGTGACAACAAAAATGTCGTAAAATTTTTCTTTTAATGTGATTTTCCCAAGGTTTAGAACCTCCTTACTTATCAACCCTACCACCTAAGTCAGGAAGTAAAACAACATAAACATCGTTGTTTTCCTGACTGCTTAAATAATGAGCAGTGGGATTTTCCCCCATCAGAATATTCTGCCTCTCCTATTCAACACTCAGAGCTTGAGTTCACTGATGTGACATAAATTAAGGCAGGTTTCATCAGTCAGTAAGTTCACAAATATTTATGGCATGCCTCCTGAGTCAAGATGCTTTCAGTGGCAGAAAATGAAGACCCAATAAAAAGTGGCTCAAACAATCATGGGAATGTATTATCTCACGTAAGAAGTTTGCAGATACAGTGGTTCCAAAATCGGTTCAGCGGCAGTTGCTCAGTGATGATGTCGAGGCCCCAGAGTCCCACCCGCTCCTACTCTGCCATCATTGTGGTGTTAACTTGTGCCTTTGAGCTGGCTCTCCTCATGATGCCAAGGTGGCTGCCACAGATACAGCTATCACATTGCTCTTTTCTAGGAGCAAAGACAAGTAAGTGTTACAAAAGCACAGAATATGCCCACTCTTAAACTAATCACTGGCAACAAGAATAGAAAAACCCAGAATTAATTTAGGTGGATTTCAATACACACGCTGGGCACAGAGGGGGCCCAGCCATGTGAAGTACATGGTTAAAAGATGCCAGACAAAATCAGGGTTATGCTGGCAAAGAAACAAGAGCAGCAGCTGATAGGCAACCAATATTGTCTACCAGCCACTATTCTGAGTACCAAGGACATGTCAGCACACAAGCCCCACAAGGTTCTGCTCTCAAGGAGCTTACCTTCTAGGACAGGCATGGGAATGTGGGTGGATAATGTAGGAGAGCAGAACTTACAAGGCAATCGGACTGGAGAAGCAAAGCAACATGACCTACACATCTTTCTGTGGGTGGGTTTTAGTGTCACCAGGTGTATCTTTAAGTACATTAAGTGGGAGTAGAATTGACTTGGCAATTGTGGGAGGTTATAACACTTTAGATGTGGGAATGAAATAAAGAGGATGTGAACCAATCAATTCCCATGTAATTTCTGAATTTTTACTGCATGCAAAGCGTTGTGCAGGACTTGGAAAAGCTATCAAATAGAGGCCTTGGCCCTGCGAACATCAGTATAGCTGGGTGATGATGCATTTGTGATAGACATGAAGCACAATGAGCCTTCAGAAGAGGATGAGAGGAGAGGCAACTAGGTTGTCCTGGAATGAATCTTGCCAACTTTATATTTTGAAAATAATTTAAAAGGAAAGAATATAAGGGTAGTATTTTTTAATTTTTAAAAATTGTTTAAATCTGAGGAGTAGCTAAGAAAGAAGACAACAAAATTAAAACTGGAGGAACTAAGAATAAAAGAGTAAGATTAAAAGTAATCCCAACCTCCCCCAAATAAATATGCCTTGGAAAAATAATAATGGTAATAATCCCAATGCATTTATAGTCCATCGATTTTTTTTTTTTTTTTTTTTTTTTTTCCCGAGACGGAGTTTCGCTCTTGTTGCCCAAACTGGAGTGAGCGCAATGGTGTGATCTCAGCTCAACACAACCTCTGCCTCCTGATTCAAGCGATTCTCCTGCCTCAGCTTCCCCGAGTAGCTGGGATTACAGGTGCATACCACCATGCCTGGCTGATTTTTTTGTACTTTTAGTAGAGACTGGGTTTCACCATGTTAGCCAGGCTGGTCTCAAACTCCTGACCTCAGGTGATCTACCCGCCTCGGCCTCCCAAAGTGCTGGGATTACAGGCACAGCCACCATGCCTGGCCAGTCAATTGATTTTTTGACAAAGATTCCAAGAACACACATACAGAAGAATGAAATTTGACCCTCAACTTACACCATATACAGAAATCAACTCACAATAGATTAAACACTTAAATGTAAGACCTGAAACTGTCAAACTCCTTGATGAAAACATCTAGTTCTATGACACTAACCTGAAAAATGATTTTTTAAATGTGGTATCAAAAGCAGAGGCAACAAAGGCAAAAATAGACAAATGGGTTACAAGAAACTAAAAAGCTTCTGCACAGGAAAGAAAACAATCAACAGGGTAAAGAGACAACTTATGGGATGGAAGAATATATTTGCAAATCATACATCTGACAATGGGTTAATATCCAAAATATTAAATGTATAAGGAACTTAATAGCAAGAGAACAACCCAATTGAAAAATGGGCAAAGAACCTAAATAGACATTTCTCAAAAGAAGACATGCAGTTGGCCAACAGGTATATGAAAAAATGTTCAACATCACTAATTATCAGGCAAATGCAAAATAAAACCACAATGAGATATCACTCACGCTTGTTAGAATGGCTATTATCAAAAGACAAAAGATGAGGGTTGGTCAGGATGTGCAGAAGAGGGAACACTTGTGTGCCATTGGTGGAAAGGTAAACTATTGTAGACATTTTGGAAAAACAGCTTAGAGATTACTCAAAAAATTAAAAATAGAACTACTATATGAAATCAGCCTAAGTGTCCATCGACAGATAAATGAATAAGGAAAATGTGAGATAGATGAAAGATAGAATAGCTAGATAATAAATAGATAGATAGATAGACAGATAGATACATACATATAATGGAATACTATTCAGCCTTTAAAAGGAAGAAAATTCTGTCATTTACAATAACATACATGAACCTTGAGAACACTGTGCTAAGTGAAATAAGACAGGCACAGAAAGACAACAGTGTTTTGATTTTACTTATATGTGGAATTCAAAATAGTCACGTCCCATAGAAACAGAGGATAAAATGGTGGTTACCAGAGGCTAGGGGGTTGGGGGTAAAGAGATGTTGATCAAAAGAAAAAAATTTCTGTTAGTGGGAATAAGCCAAGAGATCTATTGTACATCACAGTGACTATAGTTAATAGCAATATATTGTATACTCGGAAATTGCAAAGAGAGTAAATTTTAAGTGTTCTCACCACAATGAAAACACAAGTATGTGAGGCAATACATATACTAAATACCTTGATTTAGCCTTTCCACAAGGTATGCATATATTATATCAAAACATCATGTCATACACCATAAATATATACAATTTCTGTCTATCTAAAAACTAAATAAAATAGTCCCAATGCATATTATTAACGAATGCAGCTAGGAAAATTAACTGTATAAAAATGTTTTGTGGACCACATGCAGTGGCTCACGCCTGTAATGTCCGCATTTTGGGAGGCCGAGTTGGGTGGATCACCTGAGGTCAGGAGTTCGAGACCAACCGGGCCAACATGGTGAAAACCTGCCTCTACTAAAAATACAAAAATTAGCCAGGTGTGGTGGTGCACTCCTGTAGTCCCAGCTACTTGGGAGGCTGAGGTAAGAGAACCACTTGAATCCGGGAGGTGGAGGTTGCAGTGAGCCGAGATCACGCCATTGCACTCCAGCCTGAAAATGTCTTATGTATATCAAGCAACATTCATTTGAGAGGTAACTACTGGATAAGAAATACTGATGTAATACTATTAATAATAGCTTACATTGTATTCCACTTACCATGTAGCAGGGGCTATTCTAAGCACTTTACATATTAGCCCATGTAATCATTACTTCAATCCCAAGAAGACGGGTGCTTTTATCCTTATTTAATGGTGAGGAAAATTCAGGATTAGAGAGATTAAGTAATTAGCTCAAGGTCACACAAGCAACCCAGGCAGTTGGGCTCCCAGGTCTCCAGTTTTAACCACCATATTAGACAGAATGAAAACAAGGCACGAAACAGCATGGTTATTAAAGGAGGCAGAAAGCTCACCCGGCGGTTTCCTTCTCAAGATGGAGAGAGGTCGAAGTGAATTTGGAATATGATTCTTTGTATCTCTGGCCATCTATGTAAAAGCTGTTTTGGAAATGAGGTGCTCACAGAGGTGCTCCACTGCTGTCAGGGACTCGGGGAGAAAAATCCCTCTGAGTTATCCCACAGATTTAGCTAGACTAAGAGAAACAGCCCACTCAAGGCAGTCGCCACTGGGAGTTTCTGAATAAGGGTAAAAAGAACACCCACTTCCTAATAGAACATCAAGCCTGAAAGGATGTTACCTCCAACTCCCTCCTACAGAGAATCACAGAATGAAAAGCTAAATGATAATAGGGACCTGCAGTGTAGACAGCTTCAAGAGCGATCTAACTCAGACAGCGGGATGGGGCGGAGGCTGCGCAGTGGCTGACAACAGAGGCTCAGCCACCCCTCTCGTTGGGCTCACTCTCCGCTGGGTTGCCCCAGGCCTATTTTTTTGGCAACACTGTTGCCTATTTCCTGCTGTGATCATCTTGTCCTACATATCATGAAATGACTCCACTGAGCTCTTTCATAGAGGCTCTGCAGCTACTCTGTGAATGGGAATTGGGACACATTGGCCATCACACAGATGCTAAAAACACAAAAAAGAATGGATGATTTCTCCAGCTGCACGTAGGTCCTTTATCCTAATCCACTTACAGATACCCTTGCAGAGTGAAAAGAATCCTGGATTAGGCTTCAGTAGGCCTGGTGCACAAACTCTCAAGGTGATTTCAGACCAATTACATAAATTACATAGCCTTTTTATGCCTCAGTTTCATCAACTGTAAAATGGCAATAAAATGCCCTAACTCCTGCAAAGGGCCATAAAGGTATTATGAGAACCAAATGAAATAACATGCATGAAAGCCATTTGGAAGGGACAGATGACTGTACAAGGGCAAGGGGTTATTATTTCTCTACACCTGTTACTACAGTGCCGCTGTAAGAAAACCCACATGCCTGCACAGGGGCCCAGCTTTGCAAACTAAGGATTGGAACAGTGAATTAGTCAGCTCTGGCTGCCACATGAGGTACCACAGATCTCACAGACTGTGTGGCTGAAAGAATAGGAATTTAATTTCTCACAGTTCTGAGGCTCGAAGTACAAGGTCAAGGTGCTATTAAGATTGGTTTCTGGTGAGGCCTCTCATCCTTGTTGGCAAACAGCCACCTTCTCACTGTGTCCTCACATGGCCTTTCCTCTGTGCTCATGCATCCTTCGTGTCTCTGCCTCTTTTTTACTTTTTTTTTTGAGACAAGATCCCACTCTGTCACCCAGGCTGAAGTTCAGTGCAGGCTCAGTCACAGCTCACTGCAGCCTCGGCCACCTGGACTCAAACAATCCTCCTGCCTCAGCCTCCTGAGTAGCTGGGACTGCAGTTGCATGCCACCACACCCTGCTAATTATTTTTTGTTTTTTGTAGAAATGGGATCTCACTCTGCTGCCCAGGCTGATGTCGAACTCCTGGGCTCAGGTGATTCTCCTATCTTGGCCTCCCAAAGTGCTGGGATTAGAAATGTGAGCTACCAGATCCAGCCTCTGCCTCTTCTTATAAGAACAGCAGTCCCATGGAATTAGAGCCCCACCCACATAACCCCATTTAACTTTAATTACCTTTTTAAAGGCTCTGTCTCTAAATACAGTCACATTGGGTGTTAGGGCTTCAGCAGATGAAGTTTAGGGGGACACAACTTTGTCCCTACACAACAAACACCCAGAGGGAGGAGCCGTTCGGCTGCGTCTTTGCACAGTCAGATCGTCTCTGCCCTATAGGGTCTTCTGTTGTCTGTAACAAAGTGTCCTAGCCAAGTGCCAGGCTGAGATTTTTTTTAATTTTATTTTTTATTTTTATTTTTCTTAGGGACAGGGTCTCAATCTTGTCCCAGATTGGAGTACAATGGCGCCCTCAGAGCTCACTGCAGCCTCAAATTCCTGGGCTCAAGAAATCCTCCTGGTCAGCGTCCCACGTAGCTGGGACTACTAATGTGTGCCACCAAGGTCTGGCTAGTTTTTTTTATTTTTCATAGAGACAGGATCTCACTGTGTTGCCTAAGATAATCCTGAACTCCTGGGCTCAAGCAATCCTCCTGTCTCAGTCTCCCAAAGTGCTGGGATTACAGGCATGAGCCACCATGCTGGGCTGGGATTCTATTTTGACTGTTTCTGGAACTGGAGAACTGACTGTCACTTCAGGTCTCCATTTACATTAATTAACATGCAGGAGGGTGCTGTGCTTTAAAATTTTTTTTTTTTAATTTCTGTAGGTTTTGGGGGAACAGGTGGTATTTGGTTACATGAATAGGTTCTTTAGCGGTGATTTGTGAGATTTTGGTGCACCCATCACCCAAGCAGTATACACTTAACCCAATTTGTAGTCTTTTATCCCTCACCCCTTTCCCACCATTTCCACCTGAGTCCTCAAGGTCCACTGTGTCATTCTTAGGCCTTTGTGTCCTCATAGCTTAACTCCCACTTATGAGTGAGAACATACAATGTTTGGTTTTCCATTCCTGAGTTACTTCACATAGAATAATAGTCTCCAGTTCCATTCAGGTTGCTGCAAATACCATTAATTAATTCCTTTTTATGGCTGAGTAGTATTCCATCATATATATATATATATGTGTGTGTGTGTGTATATATGTGTGTATATATATGTGCATATATATGTGTGTGTATATATACACACACTATCATATACTGTATCATATATCATTATATGTTTTATATATATATATAGAGAGAGAGAGAGAGAGGGAAAGAGAGGGCTTTTTTGGTTATCGTTGTTTCTTATTTGATTCGTACAGAACTGAGAACATGGTAGGATGTTATCTCCCCCAGGATAAACTTCATGGTTGGCTTGGAGCCTTGTGCAGGGAATGGCTAAAGGAGCAATCCACAGGTGGGTTTGGAACCCATTACTCCTGGTACTTCCTGGATCAGAAGTGTGGGCACCCTCAAAGATCAGCACCTCCAGCATGGGAAACTTTTAAGCATGAAGGCTTCTTACAGTGGGTTCATGACCACAGGATACAATCAAAGAAGAGATGAACAGAACAGGTATAGAGAAGTAACTGTTTAGATAGGTGAATGTCCCAGATTTCAAGGGATAAATGGGAGAGGAGGAGGAGGGACAGAGATCATCTTTACAAGGGCATGAGCAAGAATACTTAAATATCAATATTTATATGACTTGTCCCCACAAGCTGGTGAGGCATGGGGCATTCGGGTTGTTAAATGCTCATAATGTTAGATCTCAGGAAACAGATGGAAGAGGGGAAGGAAAAGAAGCAGAGAGGAGAAATTTCTGAAGGTGACTGGGGCTTATCTCCCCGGTCTAGGTAAAGATGAATCTTGCCCATATTGACAGACAGATTTGCGGTGGACTTTACTGGCCCCGTATATCCTGGGACCGGACACCTTAATCAACGGGCACTAAGGAATCTGCCAGTTCAAGGGTTGTAGCCCAATAAAGGATCCAGGATTTCAGGGCTCTCATCTCCCCTTAAACAAGGTCAACAGAGTCAGAACGCCTATTCTGATCTTGACCTTTTAAATCTGACCAGAGCAGTATATACTTGGTCTATGTCCTATACCAAGGGTGTACAGCACAAGCTGCCGTGCCTATGGCCCAAATAGACACCACAGGGTAGAGATACCCTTGAACTTTGCTAATGCCTTAATGAGGGTAATGGTTTCCTTGGATAACTCACCTGTTCATGCAAACACCACCTGAACAAAGCCCATAGGCTCAGCACAGAGGCTGAGTGGCAATAGCTGAGGAATCTAGGTGTTCACGACAGAGCCTCAGGAACACAACTGTCATAGGCTCAGCATCTCCCTGGGCATGGCTCTGTCACCAAAGGAGACAGCCTGAATGTGCAATGACTTAATTAGAATCCCGCACTCCAGCCAACAGGGGCAGGTGGGCGACACGTTTGGAAACTGGCCTTGGGAAATGCCAAGGAGAATAGCATCCATCTCCAGTCGGCTAGAAGATCTCAGGCAGGCAGGGAGGTTGGACCCTGAAGGAAGCTCATAATTTCAAAAGAAAAGAATCTTCATTAAGATCTCATGCTCACAATCTCTGAATGAGCTGAGTTTTATTTCAAGAACACATTTTCCCCCAGCCCTGAAATAAGTGTGAACCGAACTGTGAAAAACAGACCTTGACCATATTGTTGTCACTACCAATTCACAGCAACAGTCTTCAGTTGTGAATTATCACCCTCTATTTCTCTTTTGCATTGAAGGATTTGGAGATTACAAAAAAAAAAAAAAAACTCTAGCCAAGATGACTCAAAAAATTTCCATTTAAAAAATCTTGATCATTCTCATCCCCGCCTGCGGATCTGCGGTGTGTCACATTCTCCCATCAGCAGTGCTCACCGGTACATGCCTAATGAGAGGAGGCCCTCCCCTGGGCTTCTGGAGAGGTCTCTACAACATAGCCGTGCCCTACATAATGAGAGAGAACTACCTGGGGAATTCCAGTCCTTAGCAAACCTCAAATACAAACCACGCTTGTTCTTTTCCATCATGTTCTAAGTCAATCTGAATGCATTACAAACCACAGAGTTGCAAATTGTATTTGATTATTTATAACCATAAAATAAATGGAATAATGTAGGTCTTGTGAATTTTTTTCAATGACGGATAAGGCAAGGAACAGAAAATTCCCCAGTGGGGCTAAATGATTAATGCATGATGAATTCATAACATCCTTGCATTTGACAATCTTTCTTGAAGGAGTTGAAACCAGTTTCCAAGGTACAATACGTACAATTTTCCAAAACTTTTAAGTTTTTCTAGCCCTGAGCTCTCACATAAACCACAGTAGTTCAGAGAAAGATATAAATTTTGAAGAAGAAGACATATTTCTTTACTCTGAACAACTCATCTTCTCATGGCAAAGGTCACAAAATAGCATCCTTTCACCTGCTTCTAATTTGGTATAAAGGCAAAAAAAAAAAAAATAATATGCCTAGGTATTTACTTCGAAAATCACGCTATAAGAATATTTTGAGATGAAAGCGAGTCTTATGAGTTACTATCTGTCATTGGCTTCCCATGATTAAAGGTAGGGTACCTATGCAACTGGACAGACCACATCAAAGACTTCATTAGGCCTGCAGGTACAGTGTCATGTGGTGCTCTGAAGTTAATATACTTTCAT